AGCACTTACATGCATGCAGGCCATACACTCAAGACACATAAAAATAAAAAAAATTGCTTGGAAAAATCCAGGTGTGACTGCCTTATATGCAGGTAGAGGGATGAATGAAATGGGAGGTCCCAGCACCCTCCATCTTACCTCAGGCTATGTCCTGGCACCCTGGGGTAGATACAGTGCCACTTTCATTCTTTTTTTTTTTTTTTGGGGTCTTTTTTGAGACAGGATCTCCCTGTAGCCCCAGCTGGCCTGGAACTCACTATGTAGACCAGGCTGGCCTTGAATTCAGAGATTTCTCTACCCCAGCCTCCTGAGCGCTGGGACTAAAGACATGTGCCACTTTCATTCTTACTTCTTGGAATAGTTACAACATAGCGATAAAGTGACCTGTCCAGCATGCTGGTGAAGATGGACTGTCTGTGACCATCCTGACCAGATCCATGCTGCCTGAGCACAAGCTTAAGGCTGGAGACCTAGGCGGAGGTGTCACCTGAGGCACAAGGCACTTCTGGCCTCTTTAGAGCTACAGTCCTTTCTTCAAGTTTTCTGGTGTTACTATGAGTCCCATCTGTGGCTCATATCCTAGTCCATCATTATCAATGTAAGGCATGAGTGTAAGACCTAGGCCTGCAAGTGTAAAGATTAGATTCACATTGCAGAAAACCATGTCTGAATGTTATCTCTATGCAGGATAATGAAAATAAGAGCGGTTAGGAAGCTATTCCAGTTGTTGGAGAAAACAGAAATAAGGGTCTGTCTTCAGGCATGCACACTAAAGGTTAAGAGGAAACAACTTCAAGTGATGGTTAAAAATAAATCTCCTGCCGGGAGTGGTGGTGCACGCCTTTAATCCCAGCACTCAGGAGGCAGAAGCAGGAGGATCTGTGAGTTCAAGGCCAGACTGGTCTACTTAGTGAGTTCCAGGTCAGCTGGGGCTACAGGGAGACCCTGTCTCAAAAAGACCAAAAAAGAAAAAAAAAGCAAAAACAAAACAAACCCCCCTCAAAAAAACCACATCTTCAGGATAGTACATTAGGGAGAGGATAGAATGCTTGTCGTTGGCAACGGATTTCAGATGCACTGAAATCAAGTGGCTCTGGGAGTAGAGCCAAGACAAATATGTAAGTTAAAAAGACGAAACTGCAACTCCCATGTTGGGAGTTACAGTTGTGGCACTCTCCAGTGTGGTATTACAACTCTAGTTATGGTGGACTCTTGTGTTCTCCAGAGTCCTAGGCCATACCTTGAAGTCTATGCAGTGACAAATGGGTATAGCTGCTATACAGAGTTTGGGGACATTTATGGTGTCCTCATCAGGATGTACAATCTGAGCTCTTCATTGATTCTGGTTTTAAGTTTTCATTGCCACCAGTGATGGAAGACCACATTCTCTGAAGTTCAAGATGTAAAAGAACCTTGACACAACATCTGTCAACGTCCAATTTGACCAACCAGGGGCTTTGAAAAATACTACACTACCTCTGGATACAAAAGGAATATTGGAAAGGGTCATCAAGTAGGCCAGCTGGAGCTAGAGAAACACCCTGATTCAAAACAACAAACTTTTGTTTATAGGATATATGTATTTTTTAATATTTTTACTCATTATTTTTATGTGTATGAGTGTATTGCCTACATGTATGTGAGTGCACCCATGTCATGCAATACCGTGGAAGTCAGAAGAGGGTTCCGGATTCCCCTGGAACTGGAGTTAAGGACGGTTTGTAGCCGCCATGTTGGTGCTGGGAATCAAACCTGAGTCCTCTGCAAGAGCAGTTAGTGCTCTTAACCTCTGAGCCATCTCTCCAGCCCAAGACATAAAAAATTTTTTTTTTTTTTTGGTCTTTTTGAGACAAGGTCTCCCTGTAGTCCCAGATGTCCTGGATTCACCATGGAGATCAGGCTGGCCTCAAACTCACAGAGATCCGCCTGCCTCTGCCTCCGTATTGCTGGCACGAGGTGGCGCACACCTTTAATCCCGGCACTTGGGAGGCAGAGGCAGGCGGATCTCTGTGAGTTTGAGCCCAGCCTGATCTCCATGGTGAATCCAGGACATCTGGGACTACAGGGAGACCTTGTCTCAAAAAGACCAAAAAAAAAAAAAAAAAAAAAAAAAAAAAAAAAATCTTTAAGATAGGCACAGCTTGTATGACTATAATCCCAGCAATTTGGGAGACTAAGGCAGGAAGACAGCAAGTTTGAGGACAGACAGTCTGGCCAATGTAGCAAGACCGTCTCAAAATAAAATAAAAAGGAGGGTTGAGTGTAGCTCAGTGATAGAGCACTACACAATAGGTAACACACACAAATCTTCAAGCTTGGTGTGGTGGGGTATACCTGTAATCCCAACACTAGGGAGACAGAAGCAGGAGGATCAGGAGTTTAAAGCCAGTCTCAGCTACATAAGGAGTTTAAGGCTAGCCTGAGCTATTTAACACGCTGCCTCAAACAAATTTTTTGGGTTTTTAAAAAAAAATTTTTAAATTTATTATTTTTATGTGTGAGTGTATTGCCTGCATGTATGTGAGTGCACCGGTGCCACGCAATGCCCTGGAGGTCAGAAGAGGGCATTGAATTCCCCTGGAGTCATGGCCGGTTGTTAGTTGCCATGTGGGTGCTGAGAATAGAACTCAGGTCCTCTGCAAGAACAGTCAGTGCTCTTAACTGCTGAGCCATCCCTTCAGCCCCAAATCCTTTTGTTTTATATTAATTTCTTCCCCCCAAATTTTAACTTATTCATATATACAATGTATTTTTTCTTAAAAATTTTTAATTTTTTTAGATTTTTTTTATGTGTATGAGTGTATTGTCTGCATATATGTGAGTGCACTCATGTCCTGCAATGCCACAGAGATCAGAAGAGGGCTTCAGATTCCCCTGGAACTGCAGTTAAGGACAGTTCGTAGGTGCCACGTGGGTGCTGGGAATTGAACCCAGGTCCTCTGCAAGAGCAGTCAGTGCTCTCAACAGCTGAGCCATCTCTCCAGCCCCTTAAAAAATTATTTATTTTTATGTGCATGAATGTATTGCCTCCATGTATGTTAAGTGTACCCCTGTGATGCAATGCCCACATCAGATACCCTGGAACTGGAGTTACAGTTATTAGCAGCCATGTGGGAGCTGGGCACCAAACCTGAGTAGTCTGCAAGAATAGTTGATACTCTTTTAACTACCAAGTCATCTCTCCAGCACCCCCACACCCGCCCCCTTTTTTTTTAGACAAGGTCCCCTGAAGCCCTGGTGGCCTGTAACTTGCTATGTAGACCAGTCTGGCATAGATCTCACAGACATTCGCCTGTCTCCCAAATTCTAGGTCTAAGGCATACGTCAACACCCCCAGCACAATGTATTTTTGTCCTATCTCCCTCCAACTCCCCACAACCCACCAACCTGTCTCCTTCCCAACCTGATGTCTCCTTTTTTGTAATAATTATTATTAATAGCCCCATGAGTCCAAGTAGTGCTCACCACCTTAAAAGCCAGGTGTGGAAGCACAAAGCTGTACTCCCAGTTACTTGGAAGGCTGAGGGGAGGATTGCTTGGGCCCATGAGCTCTAGACTAGCCTAGGCAAAATAGCCAGACCTCACCTCAAAAACACCCACTTTTTAAACTGTCCTTTGAGTTGGGTGTTGTGGTTTCATCATGTAGCCCTGGCTGGCCTGAAACTTGTAAGCAAGGCTGGCCTTGAACTCATGGAGATCTGCATGCCTCTGCCTCCCAGGTGCGGGGATTAAAGGTGTTATCACCACATCTGTTTAGACTAGTTTTATCATACACACACACACACACACACACACACACACACACACACACGCACGCACGCACACAAAGCGGGAGGGGATTTCAATCGCAGGCCTCAGATTCAAGGGTGGAATCTTCTCGAGTGAAGCAAATACTTTTTTGATACCCAAGACGCTTTTTTTTTTTTTGGTCTTTTTTGAGACAGGGTCTCTCTGTATCCCCAGCTGTCCTGGAACTCACTAAGTAGACCAGTCTGGCCTTGAACTCAGAGATCCGTCTGCCTCTGCCTCCCAGCTGCTGGGATTAAAGACGTGCGCCACCACGCCCGGCCCAAGACCCTTTTAAACAGTAAAATCAATGTCCCCAATAGACATCCATGACACGCTAGGATCGCGAATGCCTTTGCAGTGCACTGTCGTAAACCTGGCTCTCAGCTGGTTGCAGACCTATTGCATCAGACAAAACGAATCACATGTGATTGACGACTTCCGGTTAACCGGTGATCACTCCACAGCAGAAACTGGGAGGTAGAGAATTCTAGAGCTTTATTTAGCTTCAAGAAGGATGCCGATCAGTCCTAGGTTCTTGCCCTACTCTGCCAGTGTCTTTTCCAGAAAGCTACCACAAATCACAACATCCTCAATAATTATATGCCTCTTTTCTTGCCTCACAGCACCCCTACTCTTGTCTGGTCTAGCAGGGAAGAGACTTCTGATTCCTAAAGGCATGCCCAAAGGTTAATGGCCTTCCCCAAAGCTTCCGGATTATTGCTTTCTGTCAAGAGCGGTCTCCAAAGTTCCCAAACGGTGGAGTAAACACATGGTGCTGCAGATGTCACTGAGACCACAGCCTCAGATCCTATCAAAACCGGGAGACCACGCTGGCTTTGTGAAGATGTGAAAAGCACTGGCAGTGATCAAAACGTTAGAAAAGAAATTCCCACGCAGCCCCAATTCTAAAACGCCAGTCCTGGGTTGCTTCTAGGCATCCAGGGTCCTGACACCTCTCCCTGCTCGTGCGCGATGCTCTCCTTCCAAGAGCACCGGCCGCAGTCTGCACCCAGCACGCGCCGGAGGAATCTGGGCAGTCGGAGCTTCGAGGAGCGTGGGACTAGCCCTGGGTTCCAGGCTGTTTGGGGGCAGGCAGAGTGGTGGAGCCACAGTCCCGAGAGAGGTTAAGTTGTGACCTCTGGAGAGGTGACTGGGTCGAGAGATGCAGCTGAGCTTCGAACTAGGGGTACCTCGCGCATCCCAGTACTTACATCGTCGCCACTCACTGTCAGCCTTCACCAGCTGGTCCACTAGTCCCGGGTCCTTGAAGCGCTTCTCTTGCGTCTCTCGAATTAGGGCTGGGTCCCCTCCTTTATCCACGCGAAACAAATCCAGGTCCAGCACCATCTTCCTTTCTCACAGGTTAAGGGAAGTAAGGAGCGGACTGCAGCTCGCAGCCTTAGAATGACGCATTGCGCCTGCGCGCTGACCTGGTCTGGCCGCGCAGGCGCGGTGGCGCACGCGGGCTCCCCCTCTCGGCCGGGAGCGGCTGTGTTAAAGCGGAGTAGGGAAGGAGCAGTGTTGAAAGGGGTGGGTGGGGACATCCACCTCTGGCGCCTTCTTCAGAGCTCTGCCCCTTCTGTTACTGCTTTGATTTCCTCATGAAATCGTGAATGCCTTAGTTCCCTTATGTTGACGGAAATGTAGTTGAAACTATTACTTGAAAATGGTGTCCAAGCCGGGCGTGGGTACCACCACGCCCTTAATCCCAGCATTCGGGAGGCAGAGGCAGGCTAATACCAGTTCAAGGTCAGCCTGATCTACACAGCCAGTTCCAGGCCATCTGGGGCTACAAGGAGACCCTGTCTCAAAAAATAAAAATGTCCAAAATAGAGGACAATCTAACAGGACTAAGCCTTTAATCTATGATGCTATCTCCACATGGATGGTGTTAGAGCCAAATAAATTATGACACCCCGCTGGAGAATAGCTTGGTTGGGGATGAGGGCTTTCACATATCTGATCACAGTATTGACTGTGTGAGTAGAATGAGAAAAGGCTCTCCCTCTTACTGTCCCTACTCCCCAACAAACCACTGCCAAACCAACTGTAAGATGAGGAGCAAGGCTAGGGACAGGAATGGACCTGACAAATAGAGATCCTGAGGGAGATTTAGGAACCAGGGTTCCTCTGTTTGCTGTGGTAAGGTGCTGGGTTTAAAACCAGGGAAAAGACTGTATCTGGAGATGAATCCAAGTGGTGAGCACCTCTCTTCTTGTGTGTCCCCAATCCAATGGACCTTTGTGAGAATTTATGGCATATATTTTGGAGTGAACCTGACTTGGTCCTATTCTATGTGTGTTTTTCGTAGTTTTTATTTATTTATTTATTTTTTTTGAGTACTGACAAGTTGCCCTATAAATACATTCATATTATTCTTTTTTTTAAAATCCTTTTTGTTTGTTTAAGACAGGGTCTCCCTGTAACCTCAGCTGACCTGGAACTCAAGATGTAAACCAGATTGGCCTCCTCAGTGCTAGGATTAAAGGTGTGTGCCACCACGCCTGGCACATTCATGTTATGTAAGGTTGAAAGACCTTATTTGAAGCTAGCACCCTCAGCTGCATGCCCAGGATTCCAGCACTACAGAGATATAGCAACAGAATAACTTCTGGACCAGGCTGGGCTACAAGAAACCCTGTCTCTAACAAACTAAAAACCAGGGCTAGTGAGAAGCCTCAGTGGGTAAAGGCACAAGCAATCCAAGCTTGAAAACCTGAGTTCAGTTCTGAGACACATGCATCACATACACACCCACACCCACACACCCACACAGAAAAAAAAGAATGTAATAAAAAAACAAAAAGTGATACTCTTACATAGTAGATAACATATTGACTTAATATCTACTCAAAAAACAGGAACAAGCAAAAAAACATTTTTGTGTGCCTTCCTCTTCTATAGAGTTTGGAAGACTAAAAACTACATTTCTTAGAATATCTTACAGTCAGAATCTCCATGTGAGTTGGTTCAATCAATTAGAGATACCGAAATGAGATTTGGAAAATGGAAATCAAATGAAACTAGAAAAAAAAATATATAATGAAAATAAATAAGGTAAGGATAGAGAGCTACAACCACTGGGAAAACATGTTAAAGACTCTCCTCAAAATGTTGAGGTCTCTGACACCCTCTGAGGGCAAGATCTATATTGTCCAAGCACTGATAGGTGTTTTTGTTTTTGTGGTTACACTGGACTCAGATCCAGTGGAGGAATGCCTCTGGACTGATCCTTTATGGAGGCCATCAGTGTAATTGCAGAGATCACCTTAAAACTCTGGCCTCTCAAAAAAAAAAAGTGTTTTTTTTGAAATTTCCTCTAGATATTTTGCCATTAGTTTTATCATTAAATCATAACCACCTCCCTTTAAAATGCTTCTGTTACAGTTGGTGAGATGGCTCTTTGGGTAATGGCTCTTGCCACCAAGACTGAAAACCTGAGTTTGATCCCTCCAACCCACATGGTGGAAAGAGAGAACCGACTCCTACAAATTGTTCTTTGACCTCCACATGCATGCCATGGCAGGCACATGCTCAACACCACCATAAGTGTACATACCAATAAATAAAAATTAACAAGCAAAATCAATAAAATATTCCATTTTACCTGGTAAGTATAACAAGTAATGTAATAGCACAGTCCATTTATCAGGTTAGAATCAAGATTTTTAGTGCTGAAGGGAAACTGGCTATTAGCCTAAATCTGTTTCTGTTTTTTTTTTTCTCTCCCCTACCCTCCCTTCCCCTCCTTTTCTCCCCACCTCTCTCACTATGGTGTCAAAGCTACCCTCAGACAGACCCTGTAATCAAATACAGTGCATTCACATCTTGATGAGTGCAGAGCCAAACACCACAACCAAGAGATAAAAAAGCAGAGAAAGAATTGTTACCTTCAGAAAAAGATCACTAGCATGTTACTTCAAAAGTGATGTCTTTGAGCTAGGTGTGGTGGTGCATACCTTTAGTCCCAGGTAGGGCAGGTGGATCTCTATAAAATTGAGACCAAGGGCTGGAGAGATGGCTCAGTGGTTAAGAACACTGGTTGTTCTTGCAGAACACCCGGGTTCAAATTCCACTACTCACATGGCAGCTAACAACTGTAACTACAGTTCCAGGGGATCTAACAGCTTCTTCTGTCCTCTGTGAGCATTGCATGACAGGGGTGCATTTACCTACATGCAGGCAATACACACATACACATAGATAAAAATAATTAAAAATATTTTTAAAAATTGAGATCAGCCTGATCTACACAGCGGGTTCCAGGCCAGCTGAGGCTACAGCAAGACCCTGTCTCAAAAAAGGAAAGTGATGCCTTTGAGTACTGAGGAAGGCCTTGGAATTTATGCAGGAAACCTGTACTGACTCATACAGAAAAGTTCTTTAGGCTAGGAGTGGTGGTGCACACCTATAATCCCAGCACTCCAGAGTCACAGGCAGGTTGATCTCTGGCAGTCCAAGGGCAGACTGATCTACATAGTGAATTCCAGGTCAGCCAGGGCTAAGAAATGAGACCCTGTCTCAAATCTCTTTCAGAGCAGGCATGTTCCTGAATGTGTTCATGTTCCTGAGCCCTGGCTTTGTCCTAGGGTAGGCCATCCATCGGCAGTACACCAAAGACACAGTAGTAGGAAAGGGCAGAAAAAGATTTACTCAACATGATTACTTTGGGAAGAATAGATAAAGGGGTTCAGTGAACCAAGTCTGAGTATGGCATGCATATGGTGCACTTACATACATACAAGCAAAACGCTCATACACATGCCCAGCTGACTAATGTTTTGTTTTGAAGATAATGTTTTTTATTTGTGTGTGAGTGTGTTTGTGTGTGTGTCCCCACTGTGACTCCTGGTGCTGGAGTTCCAGACATTTGTGAGTCACTTGTTCTGGATGCTAGGATCTGAACTCTGGTCCTCTGACAGAGCAGTAGATACTCTAAACCACTAAGCCATCTCTCCAGCTCCCATGCTAGTTTTTACTATGCTATTTCTAGAGCTATTCCAGCTCTGGGCTGCCCACTCCTTTCTATCAGAGAGACACCGACACTGTACTAAAGGGCGGTGCTGCTATCCTTGGGTAGCTAAGAAGGAATTTAAGATAACATGAGTCAGGGAAAGTTGCCAGACCTGGGGTGAGGACTTGATTTAGGCTCTCCCTCTGGCATAATTAAGGTCATATATAAATTCTTCCAGTATACCATATAATGTAAGGAGCTGTACTTTATGTGGGATTGTGAATTTTTTTTGTTTTTGGTCTTTCTGAGACAGGGTCTCCCTGTAGCTCCAGCTGTCCTGGAACTCACTATGTAGACCAGGCTGGCCTTGAACTCACAGAGATCCACCTGCCTCTGCCTTCCAAGTGCTGGGATTAAAGGCATGCACCACCACGCCTGGCTGGGATTGTGAATTTTAATTTTGGGAGGGTTTTAAAAAAAATTTGTATTTTATTTATTTTTATTTTATGCATATGAGTGTATTACCTGCATGTATATAAGTGCACCCATGTTGTGCAATGCCCTTGGAGGTCAGAAGAAGGTGTAAGATCCCCTGGAACTAGAGTTAAGGACAATTGTTAGCCACCATGTGGGTGCTGGGAATCAAACCTGGGTCCTCTGCTAGAGCAGTCAGTGCTCCTAACTGCTGAGCCACCTCTCTAGGCCCTATATTTAATTATTTATTTATTTATTTATTTATTTATTTATGTATTTATTTATGTATTTTTATGTGTATGAGTGTTTTGCTTGCATGTATAAATGCACCATGTGCATACAATGCTCACGGAATTCAGATACCCTAGAACTGGATTTGCAGACAGTGGTTAGCTGCCATGTGGGTGTTGGGAACCAAACTCAGGTCCTCTGCAAGAGTAGCCTGTGCCCTTAACCACTGAACCATCTCTCCAGCCTGTTTTAAAATCTCTAAATTAAAAAAAAATGTATGTGTATGAGTGTATTGCCTGCATGTAAGTAAGCACACCCATGTTGTGCAATGCCTGAGGACGACAGAAGAGGCTGTCAGCCCTGGAACTGGAGTTCAGACAGTTGTTAGCTGCCATGTGGGCGCTGGGATTTGAACCCTGATCTTCTGTAAGAACAGCCAGTGTTCTTAGCCTCTGAGCCATCTCTCCAGCCCCCAAAACCTCTAATTTTAATTTTTATATATATATATATATTTTTTGTCTTTTTGAGACAGGGTACCCCTGTAGCCCCAGCTGTCCTGGAACTCACTATGTAGACTATATAGACCAGGCTGGCCTTGAACTCACAGAGAACTGCCTGGCTCTGCCTCCCAAATTCTGGGATTAAAGGCGTGTGCCCCCATGCCTGGCAATTTAAAAAATTTTTTTATGTGCATGAATATTTTGCCTGCATGTATGTAAGTGCACCCATGTCATGCAATGCCCGTGGAGGCCAGAAGAAGGCATCAGATCCCCTGTAGTTGTTTGCTTTTTTTGTTGTTTTGAGACAGTCTTCCTGTAACCCCAGCTGGCCTGGAACTTGCTATGTAGACCTGGTTGGCCTCCATCTCTCTACCTCCTGAGCGCTGGGATTGAAGGTGTGTATCACCACGCCCAACTTCCTATGTTTGTTTTCATTTTGTTTTGTTTTTGGTATTTTTGAGACAGGGTCTCCCTATAGCCCCAGCGTTCCTGGAACTCACTATGTAGACCAAATTGGCTTTGAACTCACAGATATCTGCCTGCCTTTGCCTACTGAGTGCTGGGATTAAAGCCATGAGCCACCACGCCCACTCCTATGTTTGTTTTTTGAGACAGGGTCTCACTGTGTAGCCCCAGCTGGCCTGGAACTTGCTATGTAGACCAGGCTGGTCTCCAGCTACAGAGATCCACCTGCCTCTACTTCGTAAATGCTGGGATTAAATTATGTTTTAAGAATGTTTTATAAAATTGTGTTTATATTTATATTTTATTTTGGTTTTGTTTTTGAAAGGGGACTCTTTCTGTAGCCCATACAAGCCTAGAACACATTATGTAGTCCAGGCTAGCATTATATTCTTAGCAATTTCTTCTGTTAGCCTTCTGAATGCTGGAATTACAGCCTTGAGCCACCACATTCCACTGCTCCACTGACTACGTTTTTCCTTTATTATTGTTGTGGTTTAGTTTTTTGTTTGTTTGTTTTTTCTTTGTTGTTTTGAGACAGGGTCTCCCTGTAGCCCCAGCCGTCCTGGAACTTACTATGTAGACCAGGATGGCCTTGAACTCACAGAGCTCCAAATGCTGGGATTAGAGGCATGTGCCACCGTGCCCAGCTGTTGTGGTTTAGTTTTAAGACAGTTTTACTCTGTAGCTCAGGTTGGGCCTCCAACTGGTGATAATCCTTCTGCCTCAGTCTCCCAAGTACTGGGATACAGATGTGAGCCACCACAACCAGTTTTTGTTTTGTTGTGGTTTGGGACAGGATCTCATTTGTCAAGGCTGGCCCTAGACTCAGGATCCTTCTGTTTTCAACCTCTGAAGCAGCTGGGATTAGAAGCTATGGAATTTTTCAGCAGTAAGAAAAAATTGTTTTTTTGAGAAGGGGTTTCACTCTGTAATTCAGGCTGGCTTAGAACTGGTGGCAATCCTCCTGCCTCAGCCTCTCAAGTGCTGGGATTATGGGTTTGAGTCAACATACCTAGCAAGTAAATTTTTTTTTTCTTTTTTCCGTTTTTGAGACAGGCTGGTCTTAAACTGTGTACCAGAGGATGACCATAAACTTTTGATCTTCCTGCCTGTATCTCTGTAGTTCTAGGATTGAGGGACTACACCTGGTTTTTTACTGGTTTTATGGTGCTGGGGACTAAACCTAGGTCTTTCCTGCATGCCAGGCAAGCACTCTGAGCTGTATCCTAACCCTTAAACATCTTTTTAAAGGTTTAGGCAAAGTCAAGAATTATCTTCTTTCCTTGCTGCTTCTTTGTCAGTGACTGGGGAATCTTTAAAATTATCTGCACATTTCCTCCCCACTCTGTCTAATTTCAAGCTTGGTTCTATCTGTGGTTGCTTTTGTATTGGGATCTTACAATTTATACCTAAGTTTATCAAAAGTAATAGCAGCATTATCATGTGATCCTGATTTCACTGTTTCATGCTCATCAGGAGGCCCAGAAAGTTTCCCAACTGGACAACTTCAAAGGCTGGGTGGGAACTGTCTGGAGTAAAGGAAGGGAGGAGCTTGAGCTGAGGGGAGAGCACTTGCCTCTAGGAGTGTGGTGGAGGATGGGCAGCACAGGGGAGCCAGCAGAGTAGGCTTCTGTGTACTCCTGCAGGCCACATTACTACAATTTCTTCCTCTGTTATAATAGGGACAGCACCTGCTTCTAGGTTGTTCTGAGAACTGAGACAAAGTCATGAAAGTGCTCAGTCCAGACAACACAAACAGATGACAAGTAATGGGTGTTCTTCTCTACTTAGAGTTTTCACTTTATCCTAGAAGTGAAATATAAGTGAATATAAATGAATATCTTACTAGTGATATTCCAAATCTTTAACTGCCAGTACAGTCAGTGCCAGCTGCCATCCAGTCAAAACAGAAGTGGGTCACATACACATACAACCAGCTGGTTCTGCCTGACAACAATAAAGAACCACCAAAAAATTTTGCACATTTGAAGGACATATGCATTAGAAGAAGGACACTGAGCCAAGTATAGTGAAACAAGCTTGTAATCCCTGTATTCAGTAAGCAGGAGTATGAGGTCTCAAGCTCAAGGCCAATCTGAGCTACCTAGCAAGTTAAAGACTAACCTGGCTGCATAAGGAGACCTTGTCTCAAAAAAACAAAACAGGGGGACTAGTGAGATGGCTCAGCAGGTAAAGGCTTGATGCCAAGCATGGCGACCTGAGTTGAATACCAAGGACTTACATAGTGGAAGGAGAGAACCAACTCCTGCGAGTCGTCCTCTGACCTCCACACATGTGTCCTGGCAAACTGTACCCACACCTCCCTATACCCTCCACAAAATGAATAAATGTAATAAATAATAATAATAATAAATAATAATAATAGGGCTGGGTATGTAGCTTGGTTGGTGGACCACCAACCTCTCAGGCCCAGTTTGATCCCCAGCAGAACAAAAACCAGAGTGTTGATATGCAGGCTTGTATTTTCAGTGCCCTAGGAGTAGTTTAAGGTCATCCTTGGCCCAATATTTAAGACTCATCCAGGACCACATGAGACCCTGTCTCAAAACAAAGCAGACCTAAAACAATGATGACAAAAACAACCCCAAATCCCCATAAAACCCAAAGCCAAAAGCACCCCTTAGCTGGGTATGGTGACTCATGTACTCTCAGTACTTGGGAGTCTGAGGCAAGAGAACCGCCATGACTTTGAGCCTAAACTACATAATGAATTCCAGCCTGCCTAGTCTACAAAGTGAGACCTTGCCTCAAAACAAAGCAAAGTACCAAACCCCAAACAAAACCAAACAGTGAAATGAAGAGGAGTCCAAGGAGGAAAAGCTAAAAGGCTGTAGTGACAGAGGAATGAAGGGATCAAAGGAGGAAAAACTCTTTGGGACTCTAAACAGTCCTCCCAAAGACCCCGGTGCTGAACATCTGGTGCTCTGCAGTATTCAGACTCAAAAGTCTGTGATAGCCCTAACTCATTTGGTGGGTAGAATTCTCCTGGGGTGCAGAGCACCCTCAGCTAGAGTGAAGTCAAGTACTGAGTCCAGAAAACCCAGCCCCCCTGGGAAATGGTAGGCCCTTGATATCCTCTAGAACTTTCTCCAATATCTAGTCTATAATCCACTTCCTACCAGCAGAAGCTAAATTCACTAGTGTTGGTGAACATATTGTTATGTGGCTTCATAATGCCATTTGAGAAAAGTCTGAACTGAGGGGAGGGAACTGACATGCTCTGTTTCACTTGTGAGATCTTTTACCTCTCACCCAACCTTGGTATCACTCAGTATGAGTTTTTTTTTTGTTTTTTTTTTTTCTTTTTTGGTCTTTTTGAGACAGGGTCTCCCTGTAGCCACAGCTGGCCTGGATTCGATATGGCTGGCCTCGAACTCACAGAGATCCACCTGCCTTAGCCTCTTGAGTGCTGGGACTAAAGGCATGGGCCACCGTGCCTGGCTACTCAATGTGTTTTATCACTGTAGAAACCCAGGCTTCAGGCATCAATTCCTCATCAGGAGGTGTGCAGCCTCTAGCCTCCATCCTTTATGTTGTTCTGAAGGCTGTGCTCTTTTCTCCTTCTCCTACTTGGGCTTCAAAGGCAACATTTCTCACTCACCCCTCCAGCCACCCTACCCATGTTCAAGAAAGATAGCTCGAAAGGTATGTTTTTATTTCACCAAAAAATATGACATGCAACACCCATCCCCTAACAAACTATAAATGCTTAGAATACAGAATAAAGAGGAAATCCAACCTGTTCTGATGAGACACAAATTTGATTTCACAAAGCTCAAAAATCTGTTACAAAGTCTGTATAAATATAATCAGTCTTATCTTTAGAGTCAGATCGCCCCCCAAATTTTTGATGATATAATAAATCCCCTGGTCCTTGGATACACCATAATCTTCATTTGTGTTCCCAGCCAAATACAGTGATGACTACAAGATGAAATTTGTTATGTATTCTAGGACTCTAGATAACCAAATGGGTTTTAAATACTGTCTCCTGAGCCCATTCTCTGCCTCTAAAGATTGTGTAAACCACTGCATCCCTGGCTCAAGGGTTAAAGCCTTTCTCCCTTAGACCTAATACGTCTGCTCTAAAACGTATGTAGAGGGCCAGGGATATAACATGGTAGTAGGACATTTGCCTGGCACGTGAGAGGCCCTGGGTTTCATCCTTAGCACTGAAAACTAAAATGGATGTAGCAAAAGCCATTGAACTATAGGTTTTAAATGGGTGAATTGTGCAGTACGTTAATTATATCTCAATAAAATTATTAAAAATAGCTGGTGTCTAAGTTGCTAAGGAAGCAAAAGGTGACCTACCCTCTTCCCTTACACATCAGTCCACTATGGAGTGAGGAAAAAGGAGATCCTTAAGGATCCTTAAGGAGATCCTTAACCTCCTTTGAGGTTGCTCTGGGGGGCACTCGGTTTCAAGATGTCAGAATAAAGAAGTTAAAGGGGATGAACTTTTTATACTTCTTCCAGAATATCTAAGTATCTCCCACGGTCTTCATTACAGAAGGCAGTTACTTGATGGGAAGCAGCAGCTCAGGAAGCTGCAGAAGGCCTAGCCTGGGGCTCAGGGGTGATGTGTACATATTCACTCAGGGATAGTCCAGCATGGCCACAGGTTCTGAGAGTCACAAAATGAAGGACAATTTGGATGCTCAAACAAAAGCTTCTAGATGACTGAGCCACCACTGATGCCTTTGATGGTCTTGTCATAGCCTCATTTCTGTCTGACTCTCAAAAACCATAGTGAGAGCAGTCAAGGCTCATCAGACAAGCAAGTCACTTCGTGGCCAACAAAACCACCCAGAAATGCCTCTCAATTCTATACCAACCATCTAGTCACTGGGTAAAGAGTGCGTATGGGCACAGGCCATGAGCAACTGAGACTCGACCAAGAGATAACCATTCTAGCCTGAAGTGACAGAGAATTCCCAGGAGTGGGAAGAAAAAGGTAATTGGAAATTTTGCTCTTGCTTTACCATTCTGAATACTTCATCAGTTGTAGCTGGAGGAAAGGGGAGGGGGTGGAAAGGATACCCACCCGACTTCTGAGGTGGTGCGTACTCTACTCACCTTTCAAAGGAATGTTGCCAGAAATAGAGGCCTGGAGTCTTTTAGATTTTTAGTGCGGTGAGAACAGAAAAAAGATGTGGCTTGGGGGACAGAGGCTTGGAGGCAAGAGGGAAGTGCCTCTGTTTGGTGCAGGCCTTGTTAACTAGCCCTTGTTTTCCTTCAGTTCCTTTCTGGTCAGTCTAGAAGTTATTAATCCTGTGACCTAGCATAGTATATGAATTAAAGTCAGAAGCAGGCATCATGGCCTGTCTAGTCCATGCTGTTGCAGGCTGGAGCCCCCAAATACTCCTCCATCAAAACCCTGGCCTCCTGTGTTCTTTCAAAGCAAGATATCCTATCCCATGATATGCTCCAGGCCTCTAGGACTGAGGAGTTCAATGCTGGGCATTTTCCTCACAGGCAAGGGTTTACTATCTCCCAGTAAAGCCAATGGAGGATAAGCCTAGATTTATTTGGTTCTTTTTAGTGTTACAGGGAGATGGTAGAAGGTTTTAAAAAATTGTGGAGAATGGCTCTACTAGGGCTTTGGGCATGTTCTCAATAAATAACTTACTTTGGCATCGGTAAGAATATTTATCACTTAAAAGAAACGAGGTACCTGGTTATAAAAAAAAACAAAAAAAAAACCCCATAAAACAAAGACCCTTCTTCCTTGCTTCTCTTTGTGCTTATTGACTGTCTTCTTACACAGGCCTCACACACCTTGCCTTCAAACTGTCCACTGCGCTCTGTTTAAATTCATTCCCCAGGAGAAACTAATCCAGGCTACCGTGAAGATTGTCCATCAGAACCCCAACCTCCCCATCACCCAGCCTCTCTCCTACAGAGATCATGAGCTAAGGCATTTATCTGATCACAAGAACTCCCAGCTGCTCTTACCCTCAAGAGGACAAAGGTCAATTCTATGCTTAAAAAGAGAGAGCAATTTTTTCACTCCATAGCTGTGAGAATTATGGGCAGATGAAGTTATGGCTCCAACGGCTGGACTATTATTTGAAACAAAATACAAGCAAGGGAATAATACACAAACAAAGTGTGGGTATATTTGGTAGCTTTGGGGAAGCAGAAAGGAAGGTTTGGGTACTCTATAAAAACAAGGATCTCAAATCCAAACTTCTGATAAGGCCACAATGAGGAGATTTCCTGCAGTGGGTATTGCAAGATGCTGGCACCCAAATTGCCACAGGCTTGCAAGGTGATGTGGCAAGGTGAGGAGGCAGGGCGGTGCCTCTCACAGGTCCATGTCTGGGCCTCCTGAAGATGTCTTCAGTGGCACTGAGTCAAATCCATCAGGAGTCCTCTGAAAGAGAGATGGTGACAGGAGCTGGCTGCTGCACAGGGCAAATTAGGGGACAAAGAAGAGAAATGGAAAATAGGTGACAGAAGGAACCCCTCTGGACTTCCTGTTTTCAGGGGCTTCGTGGAAACAGAAATGAGCTAGCCTGTATTCTTTTTGCTCCCTCCAGGCTCAGTCAGAGAATAAGGAAAATCTCTAGACTCTCCTGGTTTGCATCTTTGCCGAGTTCTAGAAGTCCCAGACAGACTTAAGAAACCCCCTAGTTAACTGTTCTCTAGTTAACTGGTGAAGAAACAAAACAAAACAAAACAAAACAAAACAAAAACCCAAGTTGACTAGGGGAGTCACCTTGACAGGTTAGAAATAAGAGAACAAGATTCAGGCATGGAAACACCTACTGCCATCCCTTTCCCATTCACACCTGTTTGCAGAAGTCAGGTGAGTGTTTTGGCAGAGTGGGGCTGCAACAGCCCAGGAGGAGTTGCCTGGATGCCCTCTGCTGGCCCCACGCCCAACAGTGGTGTCTGTATTGCATTTATGAGCTCCACATTCACCCCCCACCCCTACAGAGCCAACCCTCTGAGATCAGAATTGCCCAGCAGGAGCAGTTTAGACTTGGCTATGACTCAACCCTTCAGGATGGGGCCCAGACACCTGTGAGATAGCACCCTCCACTGGTCAAAGGAGAGCCTTGCTTCTATCAGAAGTTGATCCCTGGAATGGCCTCTTCCCCCCTCCAAAAGAAAAAGCAAAACAAACGAAAGTGTGTGTGTATGTGTGTGTGTGTGTGTGTGTGTGTGTGTGTGTGTGTGTAGCTCTTACAACACAGATGGGTCAGTACTCTTTCTGGAAGTTAAAAAAACCTCAACAGGGGTTGGACAGATGGCTCAGCAGTTAAGAGCACGGGCCGTTCTTGCAGAAGACCTGGATTCAAAACCCAGCACCCACATGGTGGCTAACAACCAGTTTCAGGGGATCCAATGCCCTCTTCTGTCCTCTTCAGGAACTGCATGACACGAATGCACTTAAACACATGTAGATATAACACTTATACACATAAAATAAAAAATAAATAAAATATATTTTTTAAAAAGTCTTAACAATCTACCCACTAGAATACATGCTGGGAGAGAAGCCTGGTCAAGAGCAGCCTTGGCCCCAGGGAAGAGAGTATTGGTGTGAAATGCAGAAGGCAGAAGGTAGGGTTTTCTGGTGGGGACAGAACAGTGTTGAGAGCTGGGATCAGAGCAAGGGCTTTGCACCAAGCAGAGCCATTCAGTGTCCTAGGTAGGAGTGGTTGTTCTCCCCAGCCTTCCAGGATGATCCTCAGTTCATCTAAGTCCCCCTACCTTGGAGGTAAAGGATTTGATCTTCCCAAAGAGTGATTTCTTGCTGGTAAAGATGAGGTCATCTTCCACATCCTCGCCTTCCATGATGGCACAACTGTCAGCTGCTGGCAGGTCATAGTCTTTAAGGGTAGCGTTCATCACCAGTTTGGAGTACTTGTATTCTAGTCTGTGAAATGGGAGAATGGGAGAGGCAAGCTATGAGAATGTGGGAGTAAGGGGAAGGGAGGGGAGAGTTTGGGCAATAGATATTCCCTTGTAAGGAAAGTGAACCTTGCAAAATGGCGTGATAGAAGGGGTCTTGGCGCCCACTTTAGTGATTTTTTTTTCCCCTTAAGGCTGGTTGCTTCTGTGATCTCAAAGGTCAACAGAATGTTAAAATCATAAAGTCATTACTTGTTTGCTTGTTTTCTGGTTTTTATGAGTCAGGGTTTCATATAGCCCAGGCTGGCCTGGAATTTGATTTGTAGTGGAGGATGACCTCGAACTCTGGATCCTGTTGCCTCTACCTCCCAAGTGTTGGGGTTACAGGCATTGCTCCCTGTTCATTACTGTGCTTTTGCATTTTTTTTGTTTGTTTTCAATTTTTTTTTTTTTTTTTTGGTCTTTTTGAATCAGGGTCTCCCTGTAGCTCCAGCTGTCCTAGAACTGACTATGTAGACCAGGCTGAACTTGAACTCACAGAGATCTGCCTGCCTCCGCCTCTCAAGTGCTGGGATTAAAGGCATGTGCCACCACACCCAGTTTGTTTTGGTCTTTTTGAGACAGGGTCTCCTTGTAGCCACAGCTGGCCTAGAACTTATTATGTAGACCCTTTGGGCCTGAACCTCACATCTGCCTGCCTTTGCCTCCCAAGCACTGGGATTAAAGGTGTTCCTCACCACACCTGACTTTTCATTGTTAATATAAACAACCAATTAAGAAAATTCTCCTTTTTTGCTGGACTTTGAACCCAGGTCTCTAGTATGCCAGGCAAGCACTCTACCACTGATCTATAACCTCAGACCAATGATACTCTTTGCCTTTTTATAACCATTTCCGTACTACCATCCCTGTTCAAAAAAGGATCACCAAGTCTTTACAACTAGATAAATGGCTTGAAAGTCTATAGCCAATCACAGAGTCTATAGCCACCTTGAGAGAAAATTCCCAGTAACATGTCCTCAGATGTTCCCTTCCATCAGTGGTCCAACCCCTCCCTTCCTCAAACGCCAATACTCCATCATGTACTTTTGATTCTTCTTCCAAAAGTAACAGGTCAAGACAGTGAGCAGGATGGCAGTACAGGTGCCAGCAGAGATGCCCACTTTCAGCCAGAAATCTATCGTCTTACAGATGGTGACTTTCTGCTCAGGCAGTGAAATGCCCCCGAAGCACAACTTTGGTTCTCGCCACATGTAAGTAGTCTTCTGTTGGGAAGAAAAGCAACAGCCTCAGATCTCACATTCTCTTCTTTCCTGGGAAGTCCCCAAGCAGAGGGCAACTTACCTGGATCCCAGCCACACAGCTGCTGACAAAAGTGTGGTAGTCCGAGGCAGAGCAGACAGGACAGGCAGCCACACTCTCCCACAGAAAGTGGAAGTTACAGCCATCGCAGGTCCCATCAGAACACATCCTAGCAGAAAGGAGAGCTGAGATATCACTCACTGGGCTGGTGGGATCTGGTCAAAAACCTATTTCATTTTTTGCCTGACTCGTCTTCTCCCTGCCCAGAATGCCTCACCAGGATCCTACCAACCAAACCTTAATTCAGGTGCGATGCATTTCTCCTCTCTCTCTCTCTCTCTCTCTCTCTCTCTCTTTCTTTCTTCATCTTCCTCTTTTGCCTTTCTTTTCTCTCTTTCATTCATTCTTAGACTCTCCCTATATAGCCTTGGCTGGTCTGGTACTCACAATGTAGCCAAGGCTGGCCTTAGACTCACAGCAATCCTCCTGTCTTGGCCTCCTAAGTGCTGAGAATTTAGGCATGAGGCACTATGCCTAGTTTGAGGGTTTTGGTCTCTAATTTCCCTGATGGTAAGAGGCTTTCCTATTCTCTGCCTGCTTTTGTGGACATCAAATGAGAACTTATGTCAGATGTCTAAGTTTTAAAATATTTTATTATCTTTTAAAAAATATTTTATTATTTTTATTTTACATGTATGAGTGTATTGTCTGCATGTGTGTAAGTGTACCTGTGTCATGCAATGCTACAGAGGTCAGAAGAAGGCATCAGATTCCCCTGGAACTGGAGCTAAGGATGGTTCTTAGCCACCATGTGGGTGCTGGGAATCCAACCCAGGTCCTCTGCAAGAGCAGTCAGTGCTCTTAACCACTGAGCCATCTCTCCACCCCAATTATCTTTTATTTTGTGTGTATGAGTGTATTGCCTGCATGTAGGTAAGTGCACCCATGCCATGCAATACCCTCAGAGAAGTGTCAGATTTCCCTAAAACAGGAGTTCTGGATAGTTGTTAGCCACCATGTGGGTGCTTGGAACTGAACCCAGGTCGTCTGCAAGAGCAGCCAGTGCTCTTAACCACTGAGCCATCTCTCCAGCCCCAGATGTGTGAGTTTTAGAATGTCTGCACTTCTAAGCCCTAAAAGACTCATGTCTTCCCCCTGGATATGTGACATTTTGTAATCGCCATGACCTGGGTGTGGTATGCAGTTGACATGGCTTTTAAGATTGGACATGCACTTTGTGTGGGTTTGTGTCTGTGTGCAATTCTCTGTGTGTGTGTGCTTGTGAAGGTCAAAGATTAATCTTGGATGTTGTTCCTAGGGGTCATCCACTTGTTTTTTGAGATAGGGTCTCTTACTGGGACTGGGCTAGGTTTGCTGGCCAGTGAGCTCCAGCTATCCACCTGTTTCTTCATCTCCAGCACAGGAATTTCAAGTTCATTACTGTGCTTGGCTTTCTACTTTGATGCTGGAGATCAAACTCAGGACCTCACACTTGTGCAGCAAGCACTTTACCTACTAAACTGTCTCCTCAGCCCTTGGCTTTTGTTTATGTAATGTATGTGGGGAGTTGTTTTGTTTTGTTAAGATAGGGTCTCATGTAATCTAGGCTGACTTTGAATTCACTATGTAGCCAAGGCTGACCTCAAACACTTGATCCTCCTGCTTCTACCTTCCAAGTATTAGGATTCAATTACAGGCATGCACCTCTATGCCAGTCTTTGGATAGGCTTTGAATTGTACTGTGATATTTACAGTAGTAAAGAACAGTGATTTTTCTACTCCCACACCACTGCTGAATCAAATTCCCTGCTGCTTTGTTTTGAGTCAGGATCAAGGGGCTGTGACTACTTTCAAGAGCCCATGATGGTTCTATACTATTTTTCTCTTTTTCAGTAAATCTCGGGCTCTTGGGGTCCAAGGAAGGTCAAACTGTGGCTGGTGTAGCCTCCCTTAGCAGGGATTACCTGGGTAACAGCAGCGTTCCAGGGACAGCTTTCGTTGGGTTGCATCTGAGGCGAATGGTAGTTGATCTTCCAGAACTGCAGGACTGAGTCACATCATTGGATCTGCAGGGAAGCCAGCCCCATGGGGAAAAAAGTCACTCCACTGTGTTATTGGAGAGCTATTACATGAAGTCAACATCAGGTGATTCCCTCACCGGGCAAGCTGAGACTCGGGCTCTAGCTTGACACACAAGGAGGGTACAGACTTTGGTCTTTATATGGAGAGAGTAGGGACCAGGGAGATCTAGTCAAGGAAGGCAATGCCTAAGAAGGAAAAGGTGGGCATACATGGGGTCACCTTAGGAGCAGTGAAGTCTGTTGCAAAGCCTCCCATATTTCTCCCTACCTCTGGGGTAGAATTGTCCCAGCACTGCCCAAAAAGCTGAGGTCAAGTTATAGTCAGCCTTTAAGCTCATGACTGGACACATCTGCTAGGCCTCAGACATGCCTAGGCTTGATACTAGAGGTGGCTAGAGAGGGAGGAGGAGTGCAATCAAATTTGTGGGGAAGTCCTGTGTTTCACTTGCATTCGCCTGGCCTTTCATCTTCACCTAAAAAAGAAGATCACGTCCGGCATCCCTGAGGTCTCCGGGTGGAAGAGTTCAGCTGGGGAGATGATTCCATCAAGAGTCATGTTTGTTGACACTCCTGTCAAGTCAGAGTTCTCAGTTAGTTCTCACCTGTAGCATTAGCTGGCAACCATTTTACTTGCTCTCCAGACCCATCAACCACCAGCCTTGCTTCATCTTCCCACATCCCTGAGAGGCTCATACAAAATGAACCAGAGGTTCAACAGAGGTGCCAGGGGTACTTGGCATATAAGATAAAATAGAAAATGGAGGTCAGGAGGTCCCCCTCACATGGAACCATGTGCCTTCTAGTCTGTCACACACACACACACACACACACACACACACACACACACACATTCAAGCAAGCCTGGGGCAGCTAGGTTACTCACCAACAAGTTGGTCAGCAAGGCTGACTGGCTGTGAGGACACCCCGGCCTTGTAGCCTGTCACCTCTGAGGGGATGATGACTACCTGGCAGACATAGGCCACGATGGACTTGGAGAAACCTGCCTCACCCTCAGGGATCCGGAGGTCAGTGACATTGTCAGTGCACACAGACATTTTCTTTCCCTGGTGGAGAAGATGAGGGCAAAAGCAAATGGTCAGAGGAGTCCCGAAAGGAAACTGCGAGCTGTTTTTTCCACATCTAAAAGTTAAGCTTTCTAATCATATGTCGCACTAGAATAATTCTAACACAAAGGCTGGGGGAGAAGCTAAAAATAAGGTCTGTGTCCCAGTTTTTAGAACTCCAGCTCAGAAGTATCCAGCATTTTACTTCCTTGGAGTCACCTGGGATGTGGTTGGGCCTGGGATGTGGTTGGGCTTTGTAGTTCTAGCTCACAAACACACCAATCAAAGATCACAAACACACCAATCTTAGAAACTGAGATATGCAACTGATCCCAGGAGTCAGTGAAATTTACTGCAACATCTGGCCTGGTTGTGTTCTCTTCTGTGGACTGATTCAACTGTTTGTCTCAGAAGCACTGTCTAGATAGAGATGCCCAAGCGTTCACATAGACTCTACAACCAGGCCCCTTCCTACCTTGAGGCAGGATATCTGAGGGCAAACAGAACCACCCTATCAAGTGTTTTTTTTCTTATTTGGTGAGGTTTTGCTATGTGGCCCAGGTTGACCTAGTACTAATTGTCTTCCTGACTCAGCCTCCCCAAGAAGAGGGAATAATTGTGTTACAACATCATGCCTGCCTGGCTACCAAAAGGCTTCATAGTACTTAAGTATATGTCTAACTGATAAACTTCTTTGGGGAGGAGGAGGCGGTTCTGGGGGAATGAACCAAGGGTTTATGCATCCTAGATAAGCATTCAACTGTTGAGCTAAACTCCCCAACCTCGCTCAGTTTTGTTTGTTTGTTTGTTTTCTTTTAGACAGGAGCTCCCTATAGTCCCAGCTGGCTTGGAACTTGCTGTGTAGACCAGGCTGGCCTCCATCTGCCTCCTAAGCACTGGGACTAAAGACATGCACCACCATACCCGGTCACCTTTTCCTGACTTTTGGTGTTTTTTTTTTAAGTTTCTTTTTTTAATTTTAAAAAATTTTATTTATTATTTTTATTTTATGTGTATTAGAGTATTGCCTGCATATTTGTAAGTGCACCTGTGCTGTGCCCACAAGTCAGAAGAGGACTTCAAATCCTCTGGAACTGGAGTTACCGACAATTGTTAGCCATCATGTGGGTGCTGGGAATTGAACCTGGGTCCTCTGCAAGAGCAGTCAGTGCTCTTAATCACTGAGTCATCTCTCTAGACCATATTTTTTATTTTCTGTGTATGAGTGTACTGCCTGCACAACCGTAGATGTGCCGGTGTTGCGCAATGCCCACGGAGGTCAGAAGAGTGCGTCAGATTCCCCTGGGACTGGAGTTACAATGACTGCTAGCCATCATGTGGGTACTGGGAATTGAACCTGGGTCCTCTGCAAGAGCAGCTAGTGCTCCTAATCCCTGAGCCATTTCTCCAGCCCCTTTCTGTTTTTTGAAACCAAATAAAACATGTCTGGAGATAAGGAGTTTCACTGTGTAGCCTGGCTTTGAATTCCAGATCCTCCTACCATAGACTTCTGAGGGCTGGGATTATAGGAATGGGCCACAATGCCCAGCTCCTCTAGACTTTAATAACCTTACCATGGCCAGGCATGGTGGTGCACACCTTTAAATTCAGCACTTGGGAGGCTGAAGTACGACGATTGTTGTGAATTTGAAGCTATCCTGGTCTACACAGGGAGTTTCAGGCCAACCAGGGCTATGTATCAAGATGCTGTCTCAATAAACAAGCAAACAAATAAATAACCTGACTGTGTAGAACTCTGGAAGACAGTAGGAATTTAGACTTTTTTGGGCTTTTATTTTACTGTTTTTAATTTTTAGATTTTTATTTATTTATTGTGTGTGGGGGTATGAGTATTCCATGGCACCTATGTGGAGATCAGAAGACAATTTATAGGAGTTAGGAGTTGGTTCTCTCCTCCTACGTGGGTTTTGGGGTCATCAGGCTTGGCTGCAAGCGCTTTTATCTGCTGTGCGATCTCACCAGCCCAGGGCTTTGTAATAGAGGAAATGCTAATATATTGTTCCTTCAAAAATGTTAAGTTGGCTGGGTCGTGGCACACGCCTTTGATTCTAGTACTGGGGAGTGAGAGGCAGGTACATCTCTGTGAGTTCTAGGCCAGCCTGGTCTACATAGTGAGTTCCAGCCCAGTCAGGGCTACACAGTGAGACCCTGTCTCAACAGAAAAAGGAAAAGAACCCTAAGTTTATGGAATATCAACGTATGACCTGTTTGCTAGTATAAAATCATTTGTTTAATATTTTAAATTTAAGTGGACTATGTATTTAGAATAACATTTTCAATGTTCTAATTTTATTCTAAATGGAGCTAAATCTGATATGTTTCCTCCTAGATTGTAAATAGAGAAAAAACTCAAAAAGAAAAACTTTACCATTATAATAAGAGTTATTTTGCCTGCAGCTGAGGCTCTGTAGTGTGACCATAAACAGTGATTTTTTCTGAAAAGAACAAAGAACCCTAGAATAGAAAGACCCAAGACCCTGGATTCTGCACTGTCACCTTTCCCAGCTCACTGCAGGACACTGGCCACTGGGGCTTGCTTCTTCCAGTCTCTCTTCCCAAGTTCCTACCACCTGGGACTTCTGAGGCTTCACTTTAGCCTCTTTAGAAGTCTAAAGCAAGTTAGACACCCATCTTGAGTCATTCATGGATTCCTTTATTCTCTGACATGTTCTATGTAGAAACACATCAACTTTTTTGCCTGTAAAGGACTCTTCACCACAGAGACACAGACTCAGTGCTCCAGGTGCTGTTTTGTGACACTGGAAATGAGCTTTCCCAACTTCTAACTGCTAATTAGGCTATATCATCAGTCAAGGACATTAATAGCAGGATCCCCCTTTACATTTCTGCCTTTGAGTTGTGAATCCAAAATATCTGCAGGGGCATAAAGTGGCTGGTGATGACTTTCTTTCCTCAACAAAGATACATATAAATAAACTAAGGACAGTTAATTTTATCCAGTCTCTAGAAAACAAGTGGTAAATGTTCTACTTCTTTAAGGCTTCCCGCCTGCCTTTTTTCATTAGTGTGTGTGTGTGTGTGTGTGTGTGTGTGTGTGTGTGTAGGTTCATGTGTGCCATAGTATGTGTATGGAGGACAGAAGACAACTTTCAGGAAGCGCTCTCCTTCCACCATGTAGGTCCCAGAGATTGACCTCCACTCATCAGGCCATAGTATGTGTATGGAGGTCAGAAGACAACTTTCAGGAAGTGCTCTCCTTCCACCATGTAGGTCCCAGAGATTGAACTCCAGTCATCAGGTTTGGTGGCAAACACCTTTACTTGCTATGCCATCTTTTTTCCTTTTAAAAATTAAAAAAAAATTATTATTGTTATTATTTTAATATTTTGCTTATTTTTATTTTATGCATATTAGTGTATTGCCTGCATGTATGTAAGTGTACCCATGTCATGCAATGCCCACAGAAGTCAGAAAAAGGCATTGGATCCCTTGGAACTGGAATTACAGATGATTGTTAGCTGCCATGTGTGTACAGGGAATCGAACCTGGGTCCTCTGCAAAAGTAGCCAGTGCTCTTAACCACTGAGCAATCTCTCCAGACCTTTGTTGGGGGACCCTACTGCTAAGGTTGCAGTCCACCATGTCCGGATAGCTCTAAGGAGCTTGGCGCTATATGGAAGGACTCCCTTTCTCAGCAGGGGCCTCCTGTTCTCTGCTTGATTTATCTGGAAAGTGCCCAAGCACGGATGCCTGACCTTATTTGGAATATAGCCTTGGGCATAGTTACCTGCAATAAAACTGCCCCCAGATTTTTTTCTATATGATAATTAAGCATTTCCCTATAGCCAGATGATAGGATCCCCCTACCACATGTAAATAAAGCATACTATGAGTACCTATAAGCTGAAGCTTTGACTGATGTCTCCACACTATATTTTTCCCTGACCCCCACTGAATAAATGGAGCTGTATCACTGAATCTGACTCCCCGGAAGGTCTTTTCCGTAGTGCTCACTGGCCGTCCTGACCCCGTTTGTTGCTTCTGCTCCCTTTGTTCTCGTGGGTCGGTGGCCAACGGCCCTCAAGGGGAGGGAGAGACCCACAGACCTTATTCATTTTTTTTTTCTTTTTTGGTCTTTTGAGATAGGGTCTCCCTCTCCTTATAGCCCCAGCTGACCTGGAACTCGCTATGTAGACCAAGTGGCCTTGAACTCACAGAGATCCACCTGCCTCTGCCTCCCAAGCACTGGGATTAAAGGCAGTGCCACCACACCTGGTTTATTATTTTTATGTTATGTGTATGAGTGTCTTGCCTGCATGTTGTATGTGCACCTGGGTATACAATGCCCATGGATTCCAGAAAAGGGCATTGGATCCCTTGGATCTAGAGTTAGGGATGGTTGTTAGCCACCATATGGGTGCTTGTAACTGAACCCAGGTAGTCTGCAAGGGCAGTCAGTGCTCTTAACCAATGAACCATCTCTCCAGCATTTTGCTGTACCATCTTGATGGCTCTTATTTTGTTTTGTAAGATGGGCTCTCATTGTGTTGTCCATGCCAAATTTGAACTCCTAGATTCAAATGATCTCCTGACTCAGCATCTTGAGTAGTTGGGCCTACAGGTGTGTACCCCTGTGTCTTGCTCTGCCTATTCATCTTCTTTTAAAAAATATTTTTTAAAATTGTATGTGTATGCGTGTATTGCCGGCATGTAGGTAAGTACATCTGTGTAGTGCAATGCCCAAAGAGGACAGAAGAGACTGTCAAATCCCTTGGAACTGGAGCTACGGACAGTTGTTAGCTGCCATGTGGGTGCTGGGATTCGAACCTGGGTATTCTGCAAGAATAGTCAGTGTTCTTATCTGTTGAGCCATCTCTCCAGCCCCACTGCCTATCCTTTTGTATATGTGGTGGTGGTAGTGGTGGTGGCGGCGGTGGTGGCATATGCATGTGTACATATTTGTGCATATGCACATCTGTGTGTCTGTGTACATGTGGAGGTCAGAGGCTGATGTCAGGTGTCTTTCTTAATCATGCTCCACCTTATTTTTTTAATCTCTCACTGAACCTGGAGTTTGCCAATTAGTGGGTCAGGGATTTGCCCATCTCCACCTCCCCAGCACCGGGATTATAGGCACAAGCTGTCTTGCCTGATTTTTACATGGGTGCTAGAGATCCAAATTCAAGGGAAAATATCAGGTAAGAGTAAATGAAGACCTTATTTTAAACATTTTTATTGTCTGAAATGTCAGTCATACATATAGTTTTACGAGAAAAAGTCCTCAAGGAGAATTAGAGTTGTTTGAACCCTTTGATCTTCCCATTCCTTGGCTGCCCGCATGTATTCTGTCTGTCCTCTTGTCCATCTCTGGCCTCCCATCCACTGCTTTCCCTTTTCATCCTCACCCCGTCCATCAGCACACCTTACCTGGTTTCCACAGAGACTCAGGGTAAAGTGATGGAAGTACTTCAGCCCTTTTGAGGTGAAGCTTGGTGCTCCAGCAAGAGAGACAGTGCTTGCCAGAGCTGAGAAGTTGTAGTTGAAAATCCTGCCTGGAGTGTCACGGGAGAAGGTGCAGTCATTGTAGCAGATAGAGTGGATCTGCGGGAGAGAGGGATCAGGTCAGCAAACCGGCAGAGAAGACCTCAGCCTGTTCTAGAGGTGAAAAATGAAGAAGAAAGGACTGAGGTGTACACTAACAAATGAAACAGGCACACCCAGGGTTTATGTATATCCTGCCATTTGGGCTGGTGGGCTAGCTCACCCGTTAAAGGCTCAGGTTAACAACCAAACTATCTTGCCACTTGATTATTGGCACATATAAGATGAACAACCCTGAAGAAAGTATTCTTATACAATTGCCTACAGTGGCTATCATGAAAATTCTGCCAGAACCACCAGCATCCAGAGGACTTTTACAAGGACATCTGCCAGACAACTATCTTCTGCTCAACCTTGGACTGATGCCAGTTATTATTAACCATCATGGCCAGGGAATCCCTGTTTCAAAATATATGATATGGGGGCTGGAGGGATGGCTCAGGGATAGTTAAGAGCACCTGTTGCTCTTGCAGAGCACCCAGGTTTAGTTCCCAGCACCCATATGGTGGTTCTGGCCTCAAAGGGCACTACACACACACCAGATACATATACATACATGGAGGCAAAACACTTATACACATAAAAATTTTTTAAATCTTCGCGTGTGTGTTTATATGTGTGTGTGTGTGTGATTCTCCTCATTGCTGTCTTAAAAAAGTTCCCCTTGTGACTCTTTGAATAACACTATATTTTGTTGTGGCAAACATATTCCCACTGTAAAACATCAATAAAACTCTGAGGTTCCGGCTAGGAGTGGTAGTCCACGCCTTTAATCCCAGCACTTGGGAGGCAGAGGCAGGCGGATCTCTGTGAGTTCAAGGCCATACTAGTCTACATAGTAAGTTCCAGGCAGGGAGATCCCATTGCAAAAAGGATGAAGAAAAAGTTCCAAATATCAATATTAATCAGTGTTCTTTGGATACTCTCCAGTTAACATACACACACACACATATATATATATTTGCATTCTGCTGGTTATCAAACCCAGGGCCTTGTGCATGCTAGGCAGGTGCTCTACTACCAAGCTTCATCCCAGCCTCTGCCTTTCCTTCAGCAGAAAACAATGAGTTACAAACTGAAATAAGTGTGTGTGTCCAGAGTGGCAGGAAAGAAACTACTGATTTCCCCCTGATGCACAGCACGCCCCAAAACCATTTAAACCACCCCAAACCCTGCTTCCTCTTGCTGGGGTTCTCTGTCAGAAACTGAGCTGTGGAACGAGCTTTGCTTCCTGTCCCTTAACCTGTCTTAGGGTCCCTGTTCAGTGACAGCCTTACACTGCCCCAGACAGGAGCAGAGGGAGTTCCAGGGGAAGAAGGTTGCCAGGTGTCTGTACAACCACTGTGCATAGTTTGCAGCTAAACAGGGATGTTTGCTGAACACACAAATAATGTCTTGCCAGTGTGGTGGTGCACATCTATAATCCCAGCACTTGGGATGTAGAAGCAGAAGGATCAGGAATTCAAGGTCACCCTAAGAACGACATAGCAAGTGTGAGGTCAATCTAGGTTACATTGCACCCAATTAAAAATATATAAAAAATATTTTAAAAGTCATAAATAAATTAAAATAAATAAAGTCCAACACATGTCTAATGAGTATCTAAGATCTTTTACTCATATATATAGATATATGTTTTATTTGGGGGTTTTCTGAGGTAGGACTTCCTATAGCCCTAGCTAGCCTGGAACTTGCTATGTAGACCAGGCTGGCTTTGAGCTTCCAGAGAAAGACCTGCCTCTGCCTCCCAAGTACTGAAATTAAAGTTGTGTACTACCATGTCTAGCTTGGTTTTTTTCTTTTGTTGGTTAAACATTTTATTTATTTATTTATTTATTTATTTATTTATTTATTTATTTAACATATGAGTCTTTTGCCAGCATGTATGTAAGTGCACCTGTGTTGTGCAATGCTCACGGAGGGCAGAAGGGGGTATTGTAAAACCTGGAACTGGAATTTTAGTTGTTAACAGCCATGTGGGTGCTAGGAACCAAACCTGGGTCCTCTGTAAGAGCAACTAGTGCTCTTAAGCACTGAGCGATCTCCCCAGTACCCCCAGCCTGGTTTTGGGGTTTGAGACAGGGTCTCATGTATTCTAGGTTGGCATAAATTTGCTATGTAGACAAGAAAAACCTTGAGCTCCTGTTTTTCCTGCCTTCATCTCCCAAGTGCTGGGAATTCAGGTGTGTGCCACATGCCTGATGAGCATATGTATGTTTTTAGATGAGAAACTACATGGGGACAGTGGTACTGTCTTGTCCCACTGGAGAATAATCTTAATATCTGTAAAGCTGAGAAGCCCCTGGATACAGGGTAGCAGTGCCAATTAACTGTATGTGACTACTAAGTATGGTGGAGCATGCCTTTAATCCCAGCACTCAAGAGGCAGAGGCAGGCAGATCTCTGTGAGTTCAAGGCCAGCCTGATCTACATAGTGAGTTCCAGGCCAGCTAGGGCTACAGGGAGTCCCTGTCCCCAAAAGACCAAAAAAAAAACCCAAAAACAAAACAAAACTGTATGTGTCAGCAAAGGTTAACTTACCTTCTCAAAGGAGAGTGGGCAAATTCCCACCTTGTAAACAGGCTAGATTGGACTAAGCTGAATTTGAGTCACAGACCCCACTTCCCTTCTTGTATTCACAGATGCCAAATAACCCCCCTGGACCACAAAGTCACCAGTATCCCTTACCCATCAACTGAAGACAAGTCATCTAATGCAGAGGGAAATCAAGCCCTATTATTAGGAGCTCAGTACTTGAGGTTCCCACCTGGATGGTGTCCTCCACTACAACTTGGTGGAGTATACTAGGGGCACACGTGGGTATTAGTCCCTCAAGAATCCAATCGATAGCCCAGTACCCTCTGAGGCCATCCAAGCACAGGGCCCAAGATTAGACAGATGCATGGCAGACCTTGTTGCTCTTGGTCCCTGAACCACAGGATACACAGGCCTGGGCACCATAAGGCTGGTGGGCTTGCAGGATGGTGTTAGGGGGACAGAGGTGGCAGGTTCCAGAATCTCGGTCAATGTAGTGACCAGCAGGACAAGAGGTGCAGGAGGAGCCCATGTCAGAGGCTTCTAGGGCACAGGGACGGCAGTAGGAGGCCACTCCACCCATGACATTGGTGACATTGATGGAGTAGATCTTGGCAACATCATCGGTGTACTTTCTGCCCTGGAGACAAGGAAACGAGGGGAAAAGGGGGAGGGCTGAGGCAGCAGCAACAACAGAAATAGCAAAGTACTTCAGAACGTCTTTCATTCTTTTTTCTCTTCCTTCCTTCCTTCCTTCCTTCCTTCCT